GGTCAGGCGCACGTGGCTACTGCAACATTTTTTATGAGAGCCCGTTTGGAAAAAAAATTCTGCTGTGCCCTGATCTAGCCCATGTGTTAGTCCAGCGCATCTACCACGCTGCTCGTTTAGATGTAGAAGGACTGCTTACATAACGGTATGGTTACCTACGAACATATGGTACACTATCACACAAAAACGCCTGTAGTATATATCCGTGGTTTATAGCCCGACCGCATATGTATCCAGCCTCGGACGCCTTGATTTCTAAGCATGTAAACTGCAATTTCAGGCTTCGATACTAATCACCAAGTTTCAAGACTGATGTGGGCCTGCTCTGGTACATGCTCAAGGTACACTTATGATTAGGGCCAAGGTGGGGTTAAAGATAAGATAAATATAAGGGGCAGAACAGGTGCGTTTCGTGCAAGGCCATGTGCATCCCTTTTCCATGTCCAGTCAGGGGATGGCATATAAGCGATTAAAAATGTAAATACCTTATGGAGAGCTGCAGAGTCGTTGCATTCACAATGGGTCCAATGAGATCATCCAATCGAACTAGGGTAAAGACTCCGGATACAAGATTTAGCTTGAACGTATTTGTTCGCTACTTCATTGATTGCACACGGAGGTGAGAAGAAAGACGCCACTAAAACATGTGGTCAAAACGCAGTCCATTTTTGGTTCCTGTAGGTACGTATAACATAAGACTTGATCGCCCCGTTCCTGTCAGTGATAACGTGAATAAATTAACGCGCTTCAGCGCCTCTGAGTATGATCGGTGCTTTGACATCCGGAATTGCATCTTCGCAAGAAATTCCGCATTAATTCAGCTCGACGCATTCCACTTTTCAGCAACGGGAAACGAATATAGAAGGACTGGGATCTTCATCTATACCTCAGAAAATTGTTTAGGACCAAGTTCTGAGTTCAGAAGTAGAAGATATGACCCTAAGTTTTAAGATTTTTGTTCGGAGTCTCCGGGTGGCTTACCGTGACGAAGCTAAGCTAATTAGGCGGAGTTCAAGAAACCTGCTTATACCCACTAAGCTGCGCTTCTTGGATGATCTGAGATATCTTCACGATGTTAACACAGCTCAAGCGGTGTCTCGAAACCAAGTCAGTGTATTTGTGACAAAGAACATTTCACAGGAATCGGTAGTTCAACACCCAGTTTTTTGTCAGCATACACATACAACCCAGTATTCAGTACTGTATGGAAGGACCAGCCGGCCAGCTGTTCGATACATGCGGATCTCTGTGATGGTAGAGACGGTAAAGTGTCACTTCCCGAATCGTGGATTTCACAATCGTCAGGTCGAATCCGATGTTAGAAGTTAAAAAGCGAGAGTCACCAGAATGAGGAGTTTATTGTATACAGATTTCCCAGTTGCAGTCTCAGGTGGCAGTAGCCACTGGCAGTGGCCACTGCGTCCAGCCAAGCCTGTGAGTGTTGACTGTCTGTTGTGTGGGTGATGCTAGTTGCTTTAGTAGGATTGTGAAGCGAGTTCAAGTGTTCTGTCATTGGTGTG